CTCCGGGGCCAAAGCCTTCGCCGACGACGGCGTCTCCTACACCAGTTGAAGAGCGAAGCTTTCTGGTTTCATTGTACCCCATAGCACTACAGTTTCTAGAACAAGCCACACATCAGACGCCCAGAGACGGGTGCTCATTTGAAACCATTGCCGAAGGAATTGTGCAGTTGTTCGTGTGTACGGTGCGATTGCACGCTGAAAGGAGGTGGGCAGTATGGCATAGAGGGTTGCGGATGGCTGCATGGGTCTATACGCTCAAAATGGCTGAAAGGTGCACCCTCTCCCCGACACGATGCGCGACAGGGCCTACTCCGGGGCCAACGCCTTCGCCGACGACGGCCTCGCCTACACCATGTGAATAGCGGTTTGATTATTTTCGCGTGTATGGCATCCCAAATCTCTACAGACCCGTCGACATCGTCAGCACAGATCGTCGAGAAGAATGTCAATGAGACAATTGCGCGACCCGTGTTCAATTCAGAATCATTTAGCCGTCAGATAGTGGCTATTGGTGTGCACACACGTGTCGAACGTAGCTCAACCCGAGGCGAACGAGACGCCATTGCAGGTTGCGGATGTATAGATGCGAAAACAGCCACTACAATAGCACACCCTGTAATCCCACCTGATCGCCAAACCTCTGCTCAACAGGGCCTACTCCGGGACCAACACCTTCGCCGATGACTGCCTCGCCTACACCAGGTGAAGAGCGAACGTTTGTATTTGATTTCGCGCGCATGTGTCACGTCCTTTATGGGAAAGTCTGAAGTGATCAGCACAGTGTCGTCGAGGAGCGTGTGCCACAAGAGAAGAGTGATGGAGGCTTGTTTCAGAAATCGTGACCGTCAGATAGTTTGAGTTTTGGCTTGTACACTTGTGTCGATTGCACCTGAAAACCGAGGCAACCAACATGCCATAATCGGTTGCAACTATGTTCCAAGGGAGATACCAACTGAAAAGCAGTGCAATCCGCGCCCGATCACCACATCTCTACTCAACAGGGTCTACTCCGAGGCCAACGCCTTCGCCCACGACGGCCACGCCTACACCAGGTGAATCGTGCATCACAGCCTATTCCTGTAAGGAAGTGTCGAGATCTTCAGAACAGAGTCACCGAGAAGAGTGTACCAAGGCGGGAAACCGGATCTGTGCTGGTTCAGGAGCTATCTTGCCATCAGATAGTTGGAGTTGTCGGTGTGGACAATCGTGTCGAATGGGCCTCACACCGAGGCAAATGTACAGCCGTTGCAGTTTTTGGTTGTGGATGCACTCATACGAGAACACGAAATGCAACACACTGTTAAACCCACCCGATCATCACACTCCTGCTCAACAGGGTCTACTCCGGGACCAACGCCTTCGCCGACAACCACCTGGCCTATGCCAGGTGAAGAGGGAATGGTTGTGTATTGATGGTGCACGCGTGTATCGCATCCTATACCTATGCGAGGAGCTTAAAGTTATCAGCACCTAGTCGTCGAGAAGAGTGTGTCATGAGTGAATCTCCAGTAGTGCTATTTTCGCGGAGGCATCTGTCCGTGTCATGGTTAAGTGATGTGAGATTGTTTAATGGCAAATACACATCGGAAACCAGGGAAAAGAGGAGGGCAGATGCAGATGGCTTCATGAGCCCACACCCGCAAACAGTCGTGCATTTCGCTCGCCCCCCCACACGCTTTTCGACAGGGCCTACTTTAGGCCCAACGCCTTCGCCGACGACGGTCCCGCCTACCAGAGGTGAAGCGCGCAGATTTCTGTTTTTTTTGTGCACGTGTATATCACAGCCTTGTTGTTGTCTTCATGTTAAAAACCGTTCCGATCTCTCTTTACCCAGTACCTTCATATGTCCGTACCGATCCAACACTTGGCGCGGTTGATCCCCTTGGTCACAGGCTAGCTTACCCTAAAAAGGTACACTCGAATAAACTGGCCCCGAGGGGTCCGCAAGTCAATAGAAATCAACAGCCTAGATTATACCTGTACGGAAATGTCGAGATCTTCAGCGTTGAGTCCTCGAAAAGAGTGTGGCATGCTCTCATTTCGGTGATATTTTGCCTTCAGATTGGTGGAGATGTTCGAATGTCCGATTGCCGCCGATGAACGTCGAACCGAGACGAACAACAGCCATTCAGGTTTCCCCAGGGCGTCACGCGCCCACTGCCCACTGAGAATCTCTGTAATCCCCACCCGCTCCCTCACTCTCCTCGCAACTGGGTCTATTCCGGGGTCAACGCCTTCGCCGACGATTGCCTCGCCTACATCAGGTGAAGTGCCTTTTGGTATGTACGTACGCGTGTCACCCTGTTCGGAAGGCTGAACTTCCTAAGGCTGAATCCTCGAGAGGAGTGCGCTGCGACGAAATCGGGATACATATTCATTTCGAAGATGTTCTTGGGTCAGATTGGTGCAGCTGTTCGTATTTGTGCTTTATTTCGAATGCATGTCGAAACGTGGCTCACAAACCGTTGCAGGCTCTTGATCTATTCATACCCCCACACCCGTGGTATATCTGGAACTTTCGCCCTCCCTCCCACTCATTTCGCGACAGGGCCTACGACGGACCCCACGTCTTCGCCGACGATGGCATGGCTTACACCAGGTGAAAAATTGAGTACTCGGTTTCGAGAATGCAAGCACGTATCACAGCCCATACCTGTACAGGAACTTGACGTCATCGGCACAGAGCCGTTAAGATGAGTGTGCCATGGGAGGAACGTGATGAATGAATGTTTCGAGGCCATCGTGCCGTCAGGTTGGTCGAGGTGTCCGTATGCATGGTCTGTGGTCAATACATCTCACACCGAGGCAAGCAAGAAGCCTTTGCATCAGCTGCGAATGATTCGTACGAAGTCTCCCACCTGGAATAGACGGTAACCCTGGCCCGATCACCAACCCCCTGCTCAACAGGACCTACTTCGGGGCCAGCGCCTTCGCCGACGACGGCCTCGCCTACACCAGGTGAAGCACGAACGCTTCTGTTTTGATGATGCACGCATGCATCACATTCTATACGGGAAGCCTGTGCTCAAGTCGTCGAGAAGAGTGTTGCATGGAGAGGATCGCGACCCGTGCTCATGTCGAAGCCACCGCGCCGTCAGATGGTTGTCGTTGTCCATTTGTATGTTTTGTTGCATATGCATGACGAACTCAGGGGTACGGCAAGCCAACGAGGGTTGGGGATAACTTCATGGTCCACTTCCACAAACGAGTCTGAAGTTTTCACCCGCTACCTAACACGCTCCGCGACAGAGTCTACTCCGGGGGCAACACCTTCGCAGACAACCGTCTCGCCTACACCAGGCGAAGAGCAATCCTTTCTGTTTTGAGTGTGTACGAATGTAGCAGGGCCTACACGGTAAGCCCGATGTATTCGTCACAGACCGCCTCGAGAAGAGTAGGTACGGTTTGTGGCGAATGTCCGTTAAACGAGGCGAGCAAACGTTCTGGCAAGGTATTGCAGGTTTCCGTTTTTTTCGTGGGCGCACGTCATGAAATCCATCTGCTATCTTGGCCCACTCCACCTTCCTCGTCGTGACAGGGTCTACAACGGACCCCACGTCTTCGCCGAGGACCGCCTTGCCTACGTCAGGTGAAGGGCGAAGGGTTCTTTTTTAAAGTTGTGTTCGCGTATATTACAGCCTCTTGGTCGAGCCCGACGTCATCAGCAAAGTCTCTTACTAGAAGAGTGTGGCGTGAGAGAATGCTTTTGTTTCCAAGACACTACGCCGCCCGGTTGGGGTATGTTTTCACAGTCATGTTTGTGGCAAATTCGCGTCAAAACAAGGAGGACATTGCTTGTGTCCAATCCGTTGCAGGTCACCGATTCATTGATGCTCCCATAGCCATTGGAACAGGTTGTATTCCCGCCCTTTCCTCCACACTCGCCGGGACAGGGTCTACTCCGGCGCCAACGCCTTTGCCGACGACCGTCTCGCCAACACCAGGTAAAGAGCGCACGTTTTGTTTTTTGGGTGTGCTTGGGTGTATCAAAGCCTCTCGGGCAAGCCGGAATACCTCAGCAAAGACGCCTCGAGATGAGTGTGCAATGACAGAACCGCGATCCATGCAAATTTCGAAGACGTAGCACCATCTGGAGAGTGCATTGTCAAGTTCAGGGAACGGGCATACACAGCGAATCACAACAATATCCTCGGGAGGATCTGATGTTGATGGCATTTCACGTACGTGCACAGGAACCGGTTCTTAACCTCGCCCTCTGCCCACACTCTTTGCGACAGGGCCTACTCCGGACCCAACACTGTCGCCGACTTCCGCTTCAACCGCGCTAGGTAATTTACGTGCTCATTGTTGCGTTTGCGTCGACCCTGTTCTACAGGCACCGACTGCCGAGCAGTTGTCAGTTTGGCATACTCAAACCACGCTACACGTCAATTGGTTCTATAGTCCTTCAACTTAATGCGCATTCTCGGCGTTTCTGTGGCCTCATTCTCCGCTTGGTGCTGCGCCTTTCTGGTACATTTCGCGAAATATTTCACAGCAATTCCTCCAACGGAAACGCCGATTCCTGCAACGACGTCCCCTGAGGTGTATCCGAGTTTGGCTCCTTCAACAGGTGAGGGTGTTGACCGTGTTTGACCTATGAATACGACCATGCGCTGGGCAGGCCTTACCTTGCCTCCCACCTGATCATTTACATACGTGCCACAAACACCGCTAGAGCACCAGGTACCTTTTCTCACCCATGACTGCTCAGTTTCATGATCAATGCTCGTTCGGTCTGCGGTGCCTCGACAAACCCCCAACTCAATTACGCCCAGCCCTTGCCTGGTACAGGATTTCGTTCGCTTGGTGTGTGATCATACGTGCTGTTCTCTAAACACTCCCACTACCGCGCCCCTCTCGAAACAACCGTTCTCCTCGGCGACAGTTACCGTTGCACCCAGAGCTACGGCTGCCCCTGCAGCAGCTGATCTGGCTCCTGGTGTCACCACAGCTTCAGGAACTCCTTCGCCCGAGGCAACAAGGGTTCCGACCCCTCCATGCGAGCTTCCAACTCAGGCTTCGGGTGCAGCATCGACCCCGAGCTCAACAACTTCCCCTGGAACTACCCTGACACCCAGCACTACATCACCAGTGGAGCCTGTAAATCCAATTGCACCCCGTCGCACGACTGGTCCCACTGGCATCACGGCGGTGCCCGCGGCTCAGGCACCAAGTGCTGCAGAAGAAGGTCGCGTGTGGTTGATTTCGGTGGCGTTGTTTCCACTGTTAGCTTTTCACATGGTGAAGGCGCCATACAGAACGAGTGCAATCGAGACCGGGGGTAGCTTCTTATTTCGCTACCTGTGAACCTTGCTGAGTATGTTGCTACCCATGAGCGCTACTCTAGGTACACGAGGTTCGTGGCATGAAGCTCTCACCCTATCGTGTCCGACAATATTTACCTGTGGCGTTGTAGTTGTGTCGACCTTCTCTACAGGCACCGACTGCCAGACATTTATCGGCTAGTGTACAATTCCTTCACGTTGACACACATTTCCCGGTATTTTCGTCACCCAACCTTTTGCATGGTGCTGCACCTTTCTGTTTCATCCCGCAGTGATTCTTCCAAAGGAGACGCCGATTCCTTCAACAACGTCTCCTGATGTTAATCCGAGTGTGACTCGTTCAGCAGGTGAGGGCGTTCCGACCATGTGTGGCCTATGAATACGACCATGCGCTGGGCAGGCCTTACCTTGCCTCACCTGTACCTTCTATTTGCCACAAACACTGCTAGAGCACCAGGAAACTTCGCTCACCAATAGCTGCTTCAGTTTCATGATGACGTTCGGGTTACCCCTGCGGTGTTTCGGCACCCCTCCAACTCGCGTACGTCCAGTCCTTGCCTGGTACAGGTATTTCGTTCGTGTGGCATGTGGTCTTCGTTGTTGTCCTCTAACACCTCCACTACCGCGCCACTCTCAAACAAACTGTCTCCGCGGTGACAGATACCGTTGCTCCGGAAGCTACGGCTGCCCCCGCAGCAGCTATCTTGGCAACTGTTGTCACCACAGCTCCTGGAACTACTTCTTCTCCAGAGGCAACAAGGGTCTCGACCCTTCCACGCGAGCTTCCAACTCAGTCTCCGGGTGCAGCATCGACCCCGAGCTCAACAATTTCCCCTGGAACTCCCCTGACACCCAACGCGACATCTACACCTGAGGCTAACACGGCGCCTGTAGCGGACAGTGAACGAGTGACTCCTGCACCTGTGGACATCATCGCTGAAGTGCGTGAAGACACCGTTGCCATTTCGACTTACTGGTGAACGCCGCAATTTTGTGCGTGCTTGAGGTACATCGCTACACTATTATACTCAGAACGAAGCTTGCGTTTCTTTTGGATAAACATTGCCAGAGTGTTAACTCTTCTGCGTTGGTAGCGCATTCGTGGACCAAACGCTATTTCAGCAACAAACACATCCACCCCCTCCCCACAACGCTCTTCGTCTTGCGCCACATTAACCACCACTCTTCAGGTCGAAAGGCCTGGAACGACAGCTGCCGGAGCGGTAACCATCCTTGCCCTGATCGGCATCTTGGTAATTTCCACCGGCAGTGTCATCAGGTCGAACCGCGGCAATGACTCGTCGGCGTCATGTGGGAGTGGATCGGGGGATTCATTTCTGGGGGCTCCGGTGGCCTTCCGGGCACGGTCGGTTTGCTCTGTTTTCTTTGTAGGCCAAGCTTTGCTGAGTTAGATCTGCTCTGTGCCCGTGTGTCTTGTCTTGTCGCCCCGTTGGTTATCGGCGTCGGTCTTTACACCTTTCAGTACTTGCATTTCTGGACGCACCAGCCGGGGTCACACAGGAGTTGCATTTTCCACCTCCCTTATCGGGTGCTTGCCTGGAAATTTATCGCGAGAAGGATTTAGTTTCCCATGTTGGCCATGAAGTCTAAAAGTTATGGTTGCGCATGAAATTATCGCTTCCTACATTGTTTGGGGATGTTGTGTGGCACACTCGCAGTTCGTGTGACAGCACCGAGGTTCGAAGCCACATCCATGGGCCCGAAAGTTGCGAGGTTACCTACTGAACCAGCCACTAACGTGTAGGAAATGCTAGAATGTTGGAGTTTTGCCGAGATGTGCATTAAGACTACATCGTGTTGTTATTAGAGGTACAGTAGTACTTTTTGCAGAAGGCACAAGCGATTTTTCGTCATATAGGTAGGTGCGAATAGTCGTCAAGCATCCGCCGTCACTGAACAGATGGTTTGCAAGGTCAATCCTTTGGACACAGACACGGCTGCTTTTCCACCGAACTCTACAAAGGAATGAGCCGCGTTTCATAATCCGGCGTGGACATTCTTTGGTCTCTCGCAGGTCGACGCGTTGGCGCCCGCCGATGGCACTGCCGAAAGAGAGAACCCACCCCCCGCCAGCAATCGCAGGCCTTCTGCGACGTTGACTTTCGTGCTCATGACGCAGCTCCAGTTCCTTGCGACGCTGTCGCTGGTTGACTACGTCATGGACGAAGACTCCTGGCTCGCCGACTTCGTCACCGGTCTCAGGTGTGACGAAGAATGCATGCTGGTCGCTGAGCCAGATTGTTTTAATTTTTTCTTCGCCATTATTCCCCAGCCGTCGGTGCAACACGCTGCTCGACGCGTCTGAAGTGTCGAATTGCAGATCCGCCCCACCTGCCGGGTCTTCATGGTCAAGTTTGGCGGTAGGAGTGTCGTTAACGACAAACTTGGCTGCTAACGAGTGATTGCCGAGTCTTCGGTAGGCCAGTGGTAGACGACACCCCTACATAAGACATGTGGCCCATGAGAGTAGCTCTTGCATGTTCAAAGGAATCCTACGTACGATCTCGTTTCTCTCTCCGTCTTTTGTTGTCCTGTCCCCAACTGCTTGTCGAAACTATAAGATGGATCAATCTTTGGTGGCTGGCGGAAGTTGGCCAAAACATCGCTTCCGACGAGTCCGCCTTCGAAGCTGGGGCAAGTGGCATCCGCGCCTTGGTATTTGTGGGCAACGTTGCGCTGGTCAAAGGAATCCTTCTTGCCATATTCTTCATTCACGTGGCGGCGGTGTCCGGAGTGGAGGCACTCTGGTTGACGAAGGTGAACAAATCGAAAATCTGCGCTTTTTTCTCCGTCACCAACTAGGTGGGGTATCGGTGTTCCCCCAATGGGTGTAGTGCATTGTAGCTCCGCTTTAACCCCCCGAACATGAGCTCCGAGGCACGAGGATCACCTGCGGCACCCAAACAGCACCTCGCTGTTAAGGCCATTGGCACGGCGCACGTCAGTTGCAAATCTCGTTCGTGAACAACACAACAGCCCATTTTCCCTGCCCTGTTTCCGATCGATCGTCAACTTTTGCCGATGCAGAAACCCGCCCGGGAGAATCTAGACGCAGCACGCCGTCGTGGCGCCCCTATCGGCGAGTTGCAGGCTCGACTCAGAGGCGTAAGGATTATATGCCGGACGAACCCGGATCTCGCCGATCCCAGTCCGTTCTCCCGCCAAGCGCCCCACGCCTCTGGGACCCTTTCCACGTTAAACGAAGAAGAGTCCGACATGAGTGACGAGGAAGAGGGAGGGCGAGGGCGTGTGCCCATGCGCAGCGAGAACCGGCTGAACCCGGTGGCGACGTGCCGTGAGCACTCTACATCGGCCTGGCTCCATTTCCCGCACGTGGAGCTAGTGTTCCAGTTCTTCGCGTTCGAGGGGGCCGTGGCGTCGTTCGCTTCTGCAATTCGGAACTATGAGTGCCCAAAGATTTTCTACACGGCGATAGCAGCGATGGTGAGCTTGAGAGTCCCTTGATGGGCTTCAGAGGTTTGGCTCCAGAGATGCTATTTTGCTTGCCATGACCTCGTGGGCGAAGGAATGCTGGTTGTTTGTTTAGTAGGTTCTATCGCAGCCACTTACAGCAATTTCGGGGGGTTTTGATACGTACATCGAGTGCTAGAAGCCCAGACATGATCCAGGGCGACTTTCGCCAAGAAACTTGGTCGGCACTGCGAGTTGTGGTGCAAGTAACGAGTTCGAGTCGTACCGTTGCGTTTCACAAATAATCACCTTCCTCTTTCCCAATGCCCCTTCCATGTTGTATTTCTAATCCCGGTTTCGCGAAAAACAGGTCTTGTGCCCGCTGTTGATGTTCGTGACGGTCTTCCGCACTCTGCTCGTCCGGGTTCGCCCCAACGTGCTGCTGATCTTCAAGACGTATGCCGAGGGCGGCACGAGCGGCGATGCTCCGAGCCGCGCAGGTACGCCCCGCAGTTCTAGGCCCGTCACGCGGCCGTGTGACACGCGGATAGAAGGGGGGGACGGTGCAGAATCGCCCTACACAACTCCGGATGCAGGTTTTATTTTTCTGCTGTTGCTCTGCTTGTCCCTGCGCCTCTACCTTGGTCAAGACTTTCGAACAGAAGGATCTTATCACTGGCCCTCAAACACTGCACCAGGTGGCTTCCTCTCCCGGTTCAAGAGCAGCTGGGAGGAAAACTACAGCCTGTTCTCCTGGGCAGACAAGAGGCAATGGGAGACTGCCCAGACGCCAGACCGCCAGATCAGCAGAGAGGGCGACTGGTGCAGGATCGGGTTCGAGCCGGTATTCGTGGAATACACCAAGAGGGGGACTTGGTTCATTGTGATTTCGCTCGTGGAGGTAAGTGGGACTTGCCTGCGCGTTCGGTCTTGGCATGTTGTTAGCCGTAACGAGAGCGCCGAATGAACGTGCTCCACCGAGCCCGAGGAGGTCCGTTGGATGGAGTATAGTAGATTCGGAGTTTTGACCTACCTTAGGTGAAACGTTTATGTAGGGCGGGGTCTGCTTGAATCATGTCAGCCGGGTTGTACTTGTTGCGCTGAGATGGTTTCGGCATCGGAAACAGGCTTGACTATATTATGCGCGAACGACCGGTGCCTGCTATGGCAAGTCTCAGAAGACTTTCACCAAATGCCTCTTGCCCTTTCCCGCCCTCTTTATTCTCTGCAGTGGGTCGCTCTCGCCTTGGTCGGGGTGATGGTTGAAAACAGCATCGTACAGCTTGTCCTCTTCTGCGGCCTACCTTCTGTGATTTTCTTGATCCTCATGTTCCTGAAGCCCTTCGCAAACAGGTGATTAGGCGCATATGGTTCCAACTCGAAGAGCAAGCCATCGCGTGTACGTGGAATTTACATTCCTGGATAGCCTGAGACGTCTTGCGCGCACTATTTGTGACGACTCACCCTTTGCAGCGGTGCGCAGCCTTGTGCTACGCTCCAGTCCCCAGCAAGCATCTTCGTGGGTCGTGACGCTGGACTTTTCAAGCAGCTCCGGCGACACCTATCCTGCATTTTACACCCCGACACTTGAGTGCACATTTTTTGGAGCTGATTCGAGAACAGACCCTGGTGCCTGTTTGCGTCACGGTTCCACCTTGCGAAAATACATTGGGGATTCTAGGTTGCCAAGCTCAACAACCATGCCGCCTCCCTTAGTAGAGGTTTGAGGTGAAGATCTCGTTCTCTTCTACGCATAGCGCAATGCCAAGACCATCCTCGCGCTGCATCTTTGATGAATGCAGTGTTACCAACAACATTGAAGCATGCGTGACGGCCATCGATGCCATCAGTATGGGAGTTTTCGCCGCTTCGGCCCTTTGGTGGGAGGGAACGGACAGAGCGGCGCACTTGAACACGTCCGTGGTTGTTCTGCAGCTACTTTCCCTTTTCGGTGAGGAACGTTGCCTTGCGTGGATGTGGTGCTCTCCAATGTAACGCATGAAGGAACGACCATCGAATCGACAGTTGCACCAATTGGAGGTTTGCAGGGCTTATGTTTTAGCGGCACGAATAGGGTGGCCCGATACTCGTAGTACCAGCAGCTCTGGTCATCCCCGTACACTTGGATGCTGTGACAATCGTGATGGGAGCTATTCGCAACCGCATACGAAAAGCCTAAGGCAAGACCGGGCACGAGGTAACGTTGAAATCACTACATGAAAACGTGGCGTGTACTTACCATAAGGGATGGCCATTGTTCCGAGGCATGCTTCCTTTTGCGAAAGAATGCACAGTTACCAGCGGTCGCCGCAGTGGATCAGTTTGACGGCAGCGGAGAAGCTACCGTTTCAGGATCACTTATGGGGTTCCCCCGACTTGCAACCTTTTCTAACATACACCGTGGATTGACATATTACATGTTACCCATGCCACGATAGAAACGCACCAATTAAATCGTTTCTGCAACAAGGATCGCACGGTGGTGCCAACCCTCCGACTATGGGGTTGTCCTCGAACCCTGCTTACTTTTGAAGACGATAACGTGCTTTGCCCAGCAGTTACAAACCGCTGTTCACTTCGTGGGCCAGATCAGCTCATTGGCTAAAACCACGAAGTTCTTGCGCTTCAACCGGTCGCGTGCGTGAATGCTCCCTCAGCTGACAGACGAAGAACGGGAGGCCCGAGACTACATTCGCAGCTATACCCGACGGCAGTGGTGCGGAACTTGGTGCACCGTGCTGGGGCACAACGTCTTCGCCTGCGCGAGAGACACTAGCGAGGGCGTCCGCAAGCCCCGCTTCACCACGGCCGCGCGCTCAGGACCGTACCCGCCTTTGGACCGGAGCAAGCAGGCGGGTGGAACGGAAGACAACGGGATACGCGTGAGGTGATAGCCTTGGGTGAGCTCATCATTTTCGTGGTGTGTCGGCTCCACCACGTCAAAAAGGGCCCATTCGAACGAATATTTCCCAGCTCTTCATAACCTCAGGCAAACTGGAACTCTGTGGGGAACCGATCGGGCGCGGGTGTCCTGAGAATAAGGAAATACACAAGCAGTGAGTTGAATGAGCACGTGGACCGGAGCGGACAAAGCTGATTTCGATTCGGCGGCGCGGGGCTCGGGCGGCAGAACGCCTTTCGCGAGTGGCCTTCAGCGGTGTCCCTCTTTCCGTTTGTCTGGCCCCATACACGTCCGCCACGAAAATGGCTGAACTTCGGGATTCGTGCGCGGGTCTGGAAGGGTCGGCCTGAGTGCGGTCACCTAAAGAGTTTTTGCTTGCTAAAGGTCTTCCCGTCTTTCGCCTGGGCGATGGCATTGTATCAGTACCCCGTATATTACGGAAGAGAGTGACGACGACAAGGATAGTCGATATATTTTAGCGACTACGACGGAGATTTAAATCCCTCTCTGAGATGAAAAGAAAAATAATTATGTTAGGGTTGGGTTGTGTGAGTGGATGGTTTCGGTTTGGGTTGGAGAAGAAAGCGTGACGTGCGGAAGGTGTCAAGATGTAATAATAGAAATGTGACAGATTGTGAGGGTTGTGGGGGCGCGGTATAGGAGGGCAAAATAAGGAGCGTTGTGTTCCTGTGATTGGTTGTCCACTTCTTGATGATGACTGTATTGGGAACATATCCGTGCAGCACTTGTAAAGGAGACGAACGCCCTTATTGGTTCGTCCTTGTGATACTCGCAGCAGGTGGGCGTAGCCTCCAGGCAAAACGAATGCGTTGGGCGTCCCCTCGAATATTTTAACCTCCTCTTGGAAAGCCCATGCATTCGAGAACCTGCTTTGGAGCTCAGGAAGCTGATTGAAGTGCCCTCACTCAAAGGGCACACGCCAGCTTGTTCCCATAGTTTTGTGGTAGATCTGGAACTATGTGCCATTGTTGAAACGGGAGGGAGTTGTACACACGCCCGTGTTGTTGGATCGCGTTGCATCGATCGTCACACGTTGTTGGGGGTAAGAGTAAATGGATGTGGATATTGTCTTCTTTGTTTCCTAACCATTGGTGTCAGTCATCGGCCGGACAGTCGTAAGGCCAGGGTGAACGGAGGCTGGACTGTCGGCGAGGATGCACGTTCTCTTCGTACGGGCAGCGTGTTTTTTATGTCCTGGTTGATGAGTTCGGGTCACTTTGCTAGAAGTACCAGGTATTTACATCATCTATCAAACCTCACTGAAAAATACCATCCTAATGTACGTGTAGGATTAATTCCACCACAGAGCCGTGGCGTGCGATATCTTCCATATTTGCAAGAATAAATGTATAGCCCAACCTTTGGATGTATAGCTGCAAGGCCTGGATGCGAGTAGCGGCATGCTTGGCGGCACGAGTGGAGAATATTTCGCCATTTTCGACACGCGATCGATAGTTGAACACTTGAAAACAGTCTGCATATGATAGTCAAAACGCCGTTGAGATGGCGCGCCTTGGCACTAGAGTATGTGGGGTGGCAAATGAAGTGCGAATCTTGCTCCGATAGTAAGGAGCATTAATTTCTAATTGTTGTTTCTCACATTTGCTCTACAGTCCACAAAAATGTGGAGACCGTGGTCTCAAAACCCGGCACATGCAACGCCGCGGGGAAACAAAAAAAAAAAGGGTACAAACCACTCGGAAAAAAAAAACACAATGATGGAAAGAAAAGAACAGCTACCGCACCGACCGGTCGAGAAAAGAGCCCTCGGAAACCGATCAAAACAAAACAAAGACAGAAATATAGGAAGACGCTTCCCACACCCGCCTAAAAAATCAAAGGGTTCAAAGGGTAACATGCCAGCACCAGGCATTACGCACCAGGGCATGGGGATAACGGAGCAAACAGGACAAAGAGGCGGCAGATGGGCAGACAGCCAGATGTATAAAAACAAAAGCAACAGCAAAAGCGAGATCAAGGTACCCAGCAGAGCAGAGCAGGCAGGGAGGACATGAGAAAAAAGAAACACAGCACAGAGGCCGAAGGCAATACGAAGGACATACGTAAAGGAGTATAGCATACAGCAGGTAGGGAAACAGGGCGCAACAACATCAGCCGGGTACATAGTTCGCCACAAGTGCTGCCTCGGCCGCCCTACTCGCTTCTACAGCAGTGCCCGGTCGTCGTTTCTTCCCCCCC